TTTTTTTAATATCAGTTTTTATGCATGTATGTTAGCTAATTCTTTCTACTCAAATTTCTATTTACAATATTTTTAGCATTTCCTGAATACTAAATGAATTTGTCATTTGCATAAATGTATTTTTCGAAGTTTCGAAGCTTCGAAATAAAATTCAAAGACATAAACTTCGAAAATTCGAATTCTTTCGAAACTTCGAAACAATCAAAAGTAACAGCTCTACTATGAAAATGATTTGTATGGACGATAGTAGCATCATTTCACTACCAATCATTAATCAAATTTTAATTTATAAAATATAATGTTAAAGTATTTTAACAGTCCAACTTAATAGCCAGAAAGATTACACACTTATTGCAATTGTCTTATTAAACTGGAACGTTTCACTAAAACAAATTTAGAAAAGAATATACAGGATAAAGTGAATGATTTCTCCGAAAGGAAAAACATGCGGCTTTAAAAGAGTTACGCTTGTATAGTCACGAAATCGAAAAAAAAAAAAACAAATTTTCGTGAATTTCTTTTGAAGAGCTGGTGTTTGTATAGTTTTGTATAAAGGTTTTTGTATTTGAAAGAGCCTTTCTTGACAAAATCTTGGTATTTTTCTTATACAAAAATATTAATTTATAATAAAATTATAACAAATATTCGGAAAGCCGTTTTTAAAAAAATGTTTTGTAATAAGCAGTATTATTTGTAAGATTTTTTTTATTATAGAAATCAAAAATTCAAAAAGAATTAAGATGAGTTTATCTAGTTTTATAGCTGTTCTAGTTTTTATTAGCTGTTCGAAGTTAAGATACCGATTTTTATTTAAAAAATGAATATTTTTTAATCCACAAAATAAAAAATACAAAAATCCTTCGATCAAAGACTAGATTTTGATGTTTGAAGACTAAGTAAATAAAATTAGAGATAGATAGTTGGTGCACAGAGAATCTCTTTTTGAGATATCTTATCTCTAATAGCACATAATATCATCCCACTTTCATACTAATTATACTGTGATCATCTTTAACAAACTGAGATTAACGCAATAATATCTCGCACAATATCATTCCGTTTATTCCTGCAGATATGGAAAGAATACGTATACCTATCATCTGCATACGCAATTCCTCTTCCGGTTTTTTCCCGCTGTTTCTCGCTTGTCTGTGCATCATTTGCATCGAAGCAAATGCAAAGAGTCCATCTGTCACAGTGAATTTCTCGTACGACGTGATTTCCCACTAACATGATCATCGAAGATAATCTTATGTAATATAATCTTATAAAATAACCTTACATAAACGCGAGCAACTAATGCGATGAATTTATCGTGCGATATTGAAGAATTGTCTAACAAGAAAGACCCATCAACTGCTAGACGTTGATCCCAGTAAGTGATATATCGTTGGAAAAAGCACTTACCGAGGTGCAGATATACATAAATCGTTGAGCTTCCTCAACGAATCCGATATGACATGCATATGGAATGTGCACATTGCGGATCCATGGCAATAGCCAATATAGGTGAGCGATTTACCCTTAAAAAGTCGCTTAGAAAATGCACTAACCGACCAATCAACGTTCTAATGGCTAAAAATGATTTAATTCGATTCCTCATATTATTCTGCGGAAAAACATCTATATACACTTAATTTTTTTTTTATGGTTATTGAATAGTTATAAACAATTAAAAAAAGATTTGAACTTCGAATAAAAATTCCGTAAAAATTCCATGGTACTCACTTTTTGAAGTTTAGACTTAATTTTTTTATCTCAAAGCCTATTGATTTAAACAAAAAAAGTCTCAGAGACAAAAAATGTTCATTTTGATCCAATTAAGCTTACGGAATTTTTTCGGAATTTTTATTTGAAATTTAGATTTTTTTTAACAAAAAATTGTTTAGAACTATTTAACGACCACATAAAAAAATAAAATATACAGGATGTTTGATAAATAACGATAAATTTTTCACACACAGAGGCAGAATGTAAACTAAATTGAGAAGAAAAGTTATCTACTATTTTGCAGTTTTCGCAATAGTTAATAAGATATTAATTGCTAAAAATTGCCGAAAATTGGTCTTCGGTAAAAAATAACTTTTTACTCAAATATTATCAACTTTACAGAAAAACTGTAAAAGAAAAATTATTTATTTTCTTCTCGTAAAGTTTTGAAAAATTTTTTCAGAGTTTTTTAATACCGTATTCTCTCGTGTTAAAAATAAGAAAATGTAATATTAAAAAGTTGATAAATTCTGAAAGAAATTTTTAGAGCTCTATGAGAAGAAAAATTAATTTTTGTCTCTTGCAGTTTTTCTGTAAAGTTGATAATATATTTGAGCAAAAATTGATTAAAAACCAATTTTTGACAATTTTTAGTAATTGATATCTTCTTTACTATTGCGGAAATTGTAAAATGGACTTTTCTTGTAGAGGATTTCTTCTCAGTTTAATCCATTCTACTTCTGTATGAAAGATTTATCATTATTTATCAAGCACCCTGTATATAGATGTTTTTCCGCAGAATAATTGAGGAATCGAATTAAATCATTTTCAGCTACTAGAATATTGGTTAATGAACTGAAAACAGGGGTCAAATCATTTGCTTAATAGGTTGATTCCTAGACACAACCCTTTTCAGATTCGTGCAGGTTATATCCGGGAGTCACTCTGTCACTGAGAATCCGCAACGTTATGTATGTACATTTTGTATATAATATTGGAGTATTTGTTCGGGAAGCAACGATTTATATATCTACTATGATCATCTCGGTGTGGTGCTTTTGTAAAAATTGCAGTAAAAATCAATTAATTAAAACTTAATAATCTAATCTAATCCATCTTATCCTATGCGATACGTGAGCGCGCACGCGCGCGCACACCTGGTTGCATATATGTGTGCATGTAAGTGATCCCGAATAAAAATATACTACTAGTGTAATAAGTAAATTCAACAAGTAATCACTGTATATAATAGCGTAATAATGAAGAAAATTTTATTAAACTTCCACTAAAGTTAATTTTATTGTAATAAAGTATTATTGATTAGCATCATATTTCAAAGAATACGCGACAAAGTTATAATAAAAAAAAGTTTCCTTTATGCGAGAAATAATCTTGTGATACTCCCATGCAGTCACCCACCCGAGTCTGTACCTCCACTTAGCATATGCTTAACTTCTGCGATTGTACGGGAACTGCTTCTTCGAAAAACCATGAATACCTATAATGCTAATGGTTGTATAGTTGTAACATATCTAGTCAAAGATGTGAAAGGAACATGTATAGAAAAAATAATTAATATTAAATATAATTGTAATATACAAATAAAGATATCTATGATAATAACTTGTTTTTAATAATACTGTAAAATATTATTTGTAACTGAAATAATATTTTACTCTAATGATATATGTGTATTTTATTCTAATAAATTTTTTATACAATTACTAAATATTACAATTACTAAAAATAGTTCTATACTACATTGCTATGTCATATGACGTTATATATTACTACAGTAGTAACACTTTTAGCTGAGCAGTGATACTATTGATGTCAGTAGTGACATTAGTAGTATATTTATTGGCTGCATTCAGCAGAGAAAACCGCTCACTGAGCAAAAAAGGGATTAATCTATGATTAATATATTTATTTATTTTAATTCGTATAATAACTTGTCTATTATAGATAATCTTTAATATCATATTCCTTACTTATTTATATTATATTACTATTTATTTTCTCTCTAATGCCTTATTTGGGCCATAAGGTTAGCGCTCAATAAGCGGCATAAAATTATGCTCTACCGCTTATTGAGCGCTACATAACCTTACGGCCCAAATACGGCATTAAAGAGATAATAAATAGTAATAAATAAATAAGGAATATTGTATAAGGTAATTATTGCGAAAAAGTTAAATCTCGCCCATGACCTTGACATATGTTGTCAAGGTCTCGACGTTGAGTAACCTCCAACTGGTTTTAGCCGGCGGTTGCCATTTGTTAAAACGTTATTACAAAAAAGTTTAAAAAAAAAAAACATTCATTTTTGTTATAACAAAAGTCGAAAACTCATATAGAAACATAGAATCTTGCAGGCTTTGTGTTGGTCTCCATCTGCTTGGGGACGTACTACTTCTACCAGTTATAGAGTCCCTCTAGTAAGAATCAAGTCATGAGGAGCACCGACCTCATGATTGATCAGATTTCGAGTCCCTTTAAGCACCGCCGAATCTGTGAATTGGTTGAGCAATTGCGTCATGGTATAAAAGGCGCGAACGCGAAATCAGATTATCAACTGTCAACCATGATGGAATTGTGCTGTTTCCGGCCGATATCCGACATTCGGCAATGGCGCTCTTTAGCTCTTATGTCTTAACTCTTACTACAGGAACTCTAATCAGTTACAACTTGTAGGAAATGGAGGAAATGGTATACACGGCCATCGATGAAATATTATTAAAGACCGACAAATTTTCGTGATTGTCAAAATGAGACCCGGGAAACCCGAGGATAATTGAAGAATAATGACGTTACCGACAATTAATAAAAATTTATGAATATTAACATAAATATTTCGATAATACACTATTAAATTCGTGATTTTTTTATTATATAAATGCTGTATAAATAAATACAATGTATACTTTTAATGCTATAATATCTAATTGTCGAAAAATTACAATTTTTTCTTTGCAGTTATCATCTCTTGATAATCAAACTCGGATGATAATATTAAAATCACTGCAGTTTAAATAAAAATCGAGTATTATTTAGTTTTAAATTTTAAACATATGTATGTACACGTACATATGAAACTAATAAATCATGAAATTAGAACCGTATTACTAGTTTCTTACTCTTAATCACTTAAATTTATATAATATTTTATATAATAGTATTTATCTCGTCGGTGACACGACAAAAAATTACCTTGCATCGGTATCGTGTTACGTCATAACGTCAGTCGAGCGTGAATCATATGTTGATTACAAACGCAGTTAATTGGTGCGCGCTGCGCGCGCGCCGCACATATTTGGTACTATTTGGAAAGCTTCACGATTAGAAAAGCTTTAAAATTCTTTCATCAAAATAATTACCAAAGAATCAAGTGTATATTAAGTAAATCGATCCACCTCGACATGAAGCCAACGCTTGTGGCTGATGAAATGTTTCCCGAAGGAGCTGGACCTTACGTTGAATTAGAGGAGGTAATGTTATGTATGCACATAACCTCTGATGAGGTTAGGAATATATGTGTATTGACAAAGAGTACGATCCACTTCACGCTGTTTTGAAGCATTCTTTGATTAGTCAATTCTTTCTTCTGATTGGTCAACGAGGTATTGGCAACGTTAAGTGGATCACATCCATAGACACATACGTTACTGTGAAAACCCATACTTGGTGCGATTTCTTTGGATTGTAACTTTGTTTTCACACCATGTTAATTTCAGGTTGGAGGTAGTAGACTATTAGTGGATCTTACGGCTAGCGAGAAAGCTGTTCATTCAGAATTTTTTAATGGTATATTAAATATTAATTATTTATTATAAATTTAAATCCAAATCCAGAGAAAATCAACAATTTTTTTTCTGAAAACCTAAATATTTCTCAAAATGTAGTGTATTTAAAAGATTTCAATGGTATATTAAATAGTATTTAATTTTAATATTTTTTTACATATTGCATAAAAGATTACGAACATATTTTTTTTGTATAAACAATAATCCAAGTTAACAGAATATATGGTTAATTTATTGAAATAATTACTTCTTTTTAGATTTTGATGATCTTTACGATGATGATGATTTGGAGTAAAGCAGCATTTCTAGGAAGTTTAACTACACAGTGCTTTTGTATAGATTGCAATTAACTTAGCATCGAAGCAGAAAATTCCTTGTTTTCATAAATCCATGCAAAATATGGGTATAGCAGAATCAAAGGACATCATATGTCATCAGTTGCGTTCAACAGAAGATAGCATTTTATATTTTACAATTATCAGCAAATGATCTATGACTTTTCTTTTATCATACTTGCTGATGCTGCATGTAGCTCATCATTTCTTTTTCAGCATTATAATCTATACATATTGTACCATTACTTTTGATACTTTGAATAAATATAAAATATAACCTAATAATATTTTGTAGTGTGTGTGTGTGTGTGTGTGTGTGTGTAATGTGTTAACGCGTAATAATACCATGCTTTCAATATATTGAAACAATCAAGTGTTAAAAAAAATTATGTAACAGTTGCAAAGTTCTTGCTGTTGAACGCAGCTATTAAATGTATTCTATGTGTTTATACTTGTTTGTATATATAATAGATATGAAAAAATGTTTCGTTTTTAAAGTTTGCTGTAAAAAATTACTGCAAACCCTTACATACAGTATTGTTATTCAATACATATCCTTTCCTCTCAAAAGACTAACCACAAACTACAAACTTCATATTGTAACATTATTACAATTTATTTGTATTTTTAATTCGAGTCAAATGTGCGCCTGCATCTATCATACGTCATTTTACTGTTTACCACAGACAATTGTTATTATAAACGTGCCATAAGAAAATGAGTACTGGTCAATATATCTCGCGCGCGCGCGCACACATAATAATATTATGATACTATAAGATTATCATTTATAATACATAGACGCGCTAGAGTCATAAAACTTGTATGATGATGCACAACTAAAATATAGCACCCCATTCAGTCATTCATTTGTTTATTCTGATCATTTCGTATGCGCGTGCATCGTGTACTATTTTATTACTTGATACGAAAAAAGAGCCACTTAGATTTGCCAATTCAATCAGTCCGATTAATTGCTACGTTTTCTCCTTGGCCCCAATCAACATATTTCCATTTTGACCATTCTCATTAACTTCAACAGATTTACATTCCACTCATGATAATTATAAACTCTTATCCTTGTTCGATATATGTTAAAAACTGGCGACCGGGGTGAAGACGATATTGGCAACAACGACGATATTATTAATGTTGGCATATCGCTGATGATAGTGGCGAGTATCCTAAAATTCAGAAGTAAAGTTCCGTTAATTTAACATTGCGGACTGATATTCTGAAGTTTTAAATACATTTATTACTAAAATATATTAATATGTGTTACTAATATGTATTGAAATAATAATTGTTACAGTTAAATATTGTATATTACATGATACAAGGCATAACGTTTTTATATATACACATATAAAAAGTATATTATAAATGAATGGGAGGAGAGAGAGGAGAGGGAGAATAAATATACAAACCCTGAGTCTAGCCTTTGAAGAATTATTCGGGGTGCTAGTTAACTTCAAGATCGCTGTCAGCCTGATCATCCTGGTCGCTTTCTTCTTCGTCGTCCTCTTCCTCCGAATAGTACTGAGATGGTGGCGATAAAGGATCTTCCGATAATGAAGTATGTGACGACGACGGTGGTCGAGAACCTTCCAATTTAATATCTAAATCCTCCATCGATGTACTTGGACCAGGAATAGTTACTGGAATAAACTTCTCTAAATCCCCTGATGCTAACTCTGGAATGATCGATCTTATTAAACGAGCGAATTGAAATTTAAATATAGATACATTTGTATATATACATCAGTATACGCACGTACGCACGCACGCATTGTATATATAACAAAGAGAACGTACGTTCTACATATTTCTCGAGTGATTTCGGAACCATAAATTTTGCCTTTTGCAAATTTTCTTCAGTGCATTCCCCTTTTTCTAGTCCTAGAAGAATATTTTACACGTCATAGTTTACAGTTAGATTCACAGAGTTTAGCACATTTCAGCAAAATATAAAAAAAAATAATAAATAGTATAGAAAATGGAATCAGTATTTTTTTACCGAAAGCTAGACCCATCTGTTTTAGAACTTCGATATCGTCATGAATTTCAAACTTATCATTAAAATTAAACAGGTACTCGGTTCTGTAACAAAGAAAAAAAATCTGCTTAATATCTCTCCTTACGTAATATTTACTGATTATCTTATAATCTTCTTTTCTTTGTTTCTGTTTGACATACTTGTCATTTGAAATGCTGCAATCTATGACAGTCTTTTTACTGGTATTCACAATAAGGAATGGCAGCTGTATGGCAGAATTAGGTTTCGGTGGCCCACGGAGATTCTCGTTTAAACGATTACGTTCAACCAAGTTCTTAAAAGAAATATGAGAGAGGATTAGCTGATGCAATTGCTGCGTTTTAGCCTTGATTCTCTCAATTTTCTTCTTCTTATCTTTTTCTAATGCTACACATTCCTGTAATGAATTAGTGGGCAGGCCGAGCCACCTGATTTCCTTTTTCTCTTTGGAAATGATGTTCATTGCCATTAACACGTTTAGAGCGTCGTATACGCGTCTTCTAATATTTTTCTGATCGTATTGCTGAAAAAGAGTGAAAAACATTAAATTAAATAAATTTAATTAACAGTTACATGAGCACATTTCAAAACAAGTTTATATTTAACATGTGGATCAAATCGTTTGTAAAGCACATGTCATCTTGAAATATTACGGTTTCTTCTAATTATTGGTTATTGCGACAAATATTACTGAAGCCTCGGTAGTCGAATTGATAAGACATCCATCCAGAAAGTCAAAAATTCCAGATTCGAATCCTGGCCGAGGTAATATTTGTCGCTATAAATTATTCAGTTTTTAGATTTTTATTAACATGTGACGATTAATATTCTTATAAAAAATGCATATTAACATAAAAAAATTATTAAATTGCTTATTTAATTTAATAAATGATATTACTATTCTAGTTCTTCTCATGGACGAATCAAAAGATTTCGTAGTACACAGAATAATATATGTATATAAATTCACACAAGAAATATGTATTTAAACAGTATGATCCATTTCGGCCGAATATAAGATTTCTCTGACTTAATTAAATTTATTCTCATCGGTCTAAATTCGTATCATATTGTAATATGCGAATATTATGAGATAAATACCTGATCTGTCAAAGAATTTATATGAGCAGGATTAGTGAATTCGCCAACCAATTCATCGGCTACTTCGTTGTAGGAAGTAGTACCTTTCTTTTTCACTTTTTCGCAGACTTTCATTGAGAAATGTCTTAATCCTTTCCCAACTTTTTCTGCTTTTCTTCGCTTACTGCAATATAAAGAAATAAAAGATATAAATGGAATAGACCAGTAATTAGATGTAGAGTATACATATAACAAAATTGTGAAAAGCTAAATCTGTCATTGCCCCTCCCCCTCCCCCCCTCTCTCTCTCTCTCTCTCTGTGCGTGTGTGCGTGCGTGCGTGTGTGTGTGTGTGTACACGCGCCCACATGTAAAAAATAGACTCATTGCATTACTCAGGCACAAAGTCGCCACTTTCTACATCCTGCCTTTTCCTAGATCCAGTATGGTCTAATATTGGACTGATAAAAGTTTTCCCAGTGGCATCCTTAACAAGTTGCGAAGTATTAGACTGTTGTTGTTGCTGCTGCTGTTGCTGTTGTTGTTGTTGTGATGCAATAGCTTGTTTTATATCGCTCTAAAATAAAATATTATATTTTAAAATGTTTACTGCAAAATTTTTAATTTCCACATTGAATTGTTACTTGTTTACATAAAATTACAAAATTATATTTACCATTTGCGCAGAGGTTAACTGTATGGTCTTGGTCACCATAGACTCCCCACCCTTTGATGTTGCCATTTTAGTATTTTGCAAAGGTATTGTTACAAGTCCTATAATTACATGATTAAATTAAAGGTACTTCCAAATGGCAATAACATGCTTATAATTACATACTTCTAAAAGATTTAGAAAAAAAAAATCATACTTACTCTGACCAGGTGTAGATGGATTCTGCAAGCTAATAGTCCTAAGAACTTGTGTATTCGATGATAAAACCTTAGAACAATACATACATGATATTTATAAAAATCTAATTTTCCAGTGTTATTGCATTGAAAAGAAATATTGGAAATATTCTATATAACGAATAATTTTCAAATGTAATTTGTTTATTTATAGAGCTTACTTTCTCACAAATGTAATATATCATATAACCTTTATATATTGAACTAACAGCTGCAATTGTGATAAATAAGATACGTAAAATTAAAGCAAGTACCTGCGATTCTTGATTAGGAGCTTTAAACACTTTAAGGCCACCTGCATTTGTTGTGCTAACAATACCACTTAATGCTTTGTTAGGTGTACTTTGCACTACTTTTATCACTTGTGGATGTCCTGCAATAAATTTGATTCATCCATAAGTACTTATAAATCTTCATTAGACAAATATCAGACATTTAAAAAATGTTTCTTTTCAACAAGAAATCTAATTTAACTGATTACTTTATCTATTAATTTCAATCTAAAATATATACAGTATATATGTATATAAACAATTGTTTATATTATAATTTAAAAAATACTTAAAAGAGGAATTATATTTTGTATTTTCGCATTTGTATATTTTCAGTTGAAGAAATTTTTAACACTACGTGTA